GCCTGCCCACCAGTGATGTATCCACCCTGGCTTTGGGGTGCCTCATTGTCTCCCTTCTTCTGTTTGTCTGTGTATTCTTTCGCTATCCCTATCGCCGCTGGATCTCCCCTCCTCGTGAACCAAACACTCGTGACAACTATGTCGAGGGAAAACCCCGACAGTAAATAAACAAAAATAAAACCTAACAGTAAGACTAAAACCTAGACCAAGTCTGACTCCTAGTCCTAGGCCAATCCTTACCACTAACACTAACCCTAGTCCTAACCCTAACCCTAACACTCAACGGGGACGTAGGCCTAGCTTACAACTAACCACAGTCCAACCCTAATTAATCTTCTCGCTATACCCATCTCTCAAAACAGCAAAAGGATACTCAAGTGACATATTGTGTTAGGCAAATAAGCTTGAAAAGACCTCTGTGATGTGTTCAAAATCAGACCTGTTGGGATGAGACTAAGGTGTTTTTATTACAAGTCACGGCATTTTCTATGACCCCCTATAGATGTGGAACCTAGCCGATGAATAAATAAGGCAGACAGGAGAAATGGGTTTGTTCAATTACGGGGTTGGTGAAGAATATTGATTATACCATTGTCCATGACCATGAGCCAAGAGCCATTTGGATACCTCTATCATCATTTCCCATGTGGTACAAAATCATCGACTTAAATATTAGCCTATGAAATTTGGTCAAATATTTAATTAACTCACCCCCTAATGTGGAGTCCTGGTGCGATGCTAGCAAATAAAGTACTGGACCACAAGGTTGGTTTGAACTGCAAGGTCGGCAGTTCAAATCCACCAGCCGCTCCTCGGAAACCATATACAGCATCACACTGAGTCAGAACCAACTTGACCAACTTAACAGCCCACAGTTTGGCAATTTCCTGCCAGTGTAGTTTTACAGTCAGTTTTTAATTACCTTCAACAAAATTTTACTTGCATGTGATATTAATGATATTGTTTGACGCTGTCTGCATTCCATTGGATCACCTCTCTTTGGAATGGGCACACAAATGGATCTCTTGCAGTCAGTTGGTCAGATAGCTGTCTTCCAAATTTCTTGGCATGGATGAGTGCGTGCCTCCAGTACTGCCAAGGTGTACTTGCCCCAAGCCATGGTATTTTCAATCACTTCATATGTATGTGAAAGCTGGACAGTGAATAAGGAAGACCGGTAGAAGAATTGATGCCT